CAAATGTAAAACATTATCTAAAAACATTGTGATCAGTTATTTCTGCTAGAGAAGTTACTGCCTCAAATTTAATCTTATCTGAGTAAGTTTTCAAGTTTTGCTCCTCTCTGCTTTGAATTTCAGAGAGCATTCACTGATTTATTTTTATTTTTTAAAGAAATCAAAATTTTCTAGGATTTCACATTATTATCAACTAAAACACTTTGAAAATACCACTTCATTTTTTAAAACATTTTATACATATGGCTATAGGAACTTTACTTTCCCAGCTGTATTTCTTTAACTGATTATGGGAATGCGACACTCATATCATGTTCTCAATTTCTCCCTCGAATGACCAGTGCCTTAGAGAAAGCGTTGAAAAGGACAAGGGAGAAGACAGTCTCAGCTTGGCATCTTTATTTCTTACTTGTTTGGAATGCTCTGTTCTGACAGTTTAGCACATAGCACATAGCTGTTTCACGCCAGCATCTAGCCAAGTATCACCCCCCTTGAGTAGTTTTACTTCTTCACTTTCTGTACTACTTCAGTTCAGTTCTGAATAGTATGCCAGAAATATATTAAAGTTTTATTAGCATTCATCATATGTGGTTCTGTCCTTCTCAGAGTGAAAGTTATGTGAAGGGTCTAATTATATCTTTCAATCTTACGTCTGTGCATTGTGTTTTCATGGGTGAGGCTAATAGGTATCTCTTTGATTGAACAGAAGGAGTTCTGAGTTTGAGGTTTCACTCTGATCTGCAGAGGCTGCATCTCAAGTTTGATTAACTTTGGGGAAACCTCCAACTGTTGTTCTTACTGGGAATCAATTCCATTATCACCAATCCTTCTTCCTGGCTCAAAATTTAAGTTTTTTTTTTCCAGTTGTCCTGAATCCACAACACAGAATGCACTTAAGTAAAAGTACCAAATCTCTCAGTTTGTTTCACTCATTAGGGAGTATGACAGGCTCTGAGGAACATGTTTGCTTTGCTTATAGTAGTTGATTTTGCTAGATAAGAACTCCATATTATTAAATTCATGCTCATATTCTCCCAGGTAAACACCTAAATTTGATTAGCTGGTATATATGTGTTCCATTAGCAGCTTTTCTCTGTGGAGTAACTAATGTGCATTTTTTTTCAGTACTCTCCTGAAAATCAGGAAAGCATGAAACTTCCCCAAACCTAATTTATTTGAGATCTTTCTTAAGAAAATTTGGTTGAAATAAGCTAAAAGGATTAATACAAGTTCTGGAGAAGAGTGGGATAAAGAAAAGAGAGAAAATGCAAAGAGTGGAGTGACAGACAAAATGCTTAGAATTATTTGTGTTTTCCTGTTGGTTAGATCACTGACAGACAAAACTGGATGGTGATGGTCATCTACAGAGGTGGATTTAACATCCTGTGAAAAAATCACTCTGGCATGTCCTTTTCTTGACTCAGAGCATGGTCTGAGTTTGAACCATTTTCCTTAGTAAGTTATACTACATCTTGCTCTTTTAAAACCTGGTTTCTAAAGCTGACTCACGTTTCCCCAAATACGGGCAAGGCCAATAGGTAGTGGTAATCTTACTTGTCACAAAATTCGTCCAAAGTGCATGCAGTGTTGCACTCCACAATGACTTAGGGAATTTGTTTAGAATTTATGAATTTTGTTTGATATTGAGGATCATATTTTTTTGTGTCAGACTGTGAAGTCCAGAGTCTCAAGGCTTCTTTGTGGTGTAGAAAAGTTGAATATTTGCTGAAGGAAGAACAGCATTATTGCTGTTGTCAACTCATTTTCCTCAAACTTATGTCTTATCTCCCCCTTATTCCTTTCAGCCAGCATAGCAAGCTGTGCTGTGACGTCTGGGAATTGTGCTAGGAGCTGGTCAGCTGAGTTGTCCTCTGTGGATGCTCACTCTCCTGAGGAGCTTTATCAGCCAATCTACCTTTTCCAGTAAACAGAAAGCAGTCTCCTCTCCTGTACTGGAAGTGAGAGAACTCCCCTTATATAGAAAGACCATGAAACTAAGGTGAAAAACTGGATTCTTTGTGGTTTGTTTTCCTTTTTTTTTTTAGACATAGATGCTTTTCTCTTTCCTCTACAATAAAGATTATGGAAAAATTCTAAAAGCAAGAGGGATAAAGAAGAACAGGGAGAAATGGTCTAATAAAGCAGTGACTTCCCACAGCCATTTGTGTTAAATGCTGTGAAAGGGCAAGTCACAAGGACTAAATCCTAACCTATGTTCCTAGAGCAGTCAGTGCTGGGATATATGTGTTTTGTTTGTAATAATGGAATACACTGGAATAAATTTCAGGAAATACTAATAACTGAGCAATTAATAAACAAGAATTACAGTATAATTAGGCTAAATGTGTTTATGCAAACCTTCTTTCCCTCAGATAAACCAACAACCACAAAAGGAAAATCCCCAGTTCAGTGTCAGGGCTATAGTTAGTAGTTGGACTTTAAAATGAGGAGGCATCTCCAAAAAATCCTTATATCAAAACACAAGAATAGAATCAGGGTACTGATGTAAGTTGTGATGTTTTGAGTATTGCTTGGAATTCTGGAAAGTTTCTTTGAAGAAAGGGTGTTGATCTGTGGGAACACCTTCCCAAGACCCAGAACCTTAGCATACCACCTCCAGTCTACAAACTCTAGCTGTGTTTGAAGGTGCCTGCACAGTGCTTTGTTTAGACTTGCTGATTTCTTAAAAAAAGAGCCCCTATTTTGCTAGCTTCACCTAAATTTTCCTGCATCACCATATTGTAGAAAATGTAGAGAAAAGAATGAGTAAGGAGCATATAAGGGTAAGTTTCTTATTATGTGGGGAAATGAAGTTACCAAGTGATAAGGAAATGTCAAACTCCATTCTGGATTACAGTTAACAAGACTGGTTACTGATTACTTAGTGCTGATCATCTAGCTTTAAGTGCTCCTCCTGGAACATTTATAGAACGGTTTTGTTTGGAGGGATCCTTAAAATCCTCTATTTCCAATCCCCCTGCTGTGGGGAGGGACACCTTCCATTAGAGCAGGTTGCTCAGAGCCCTATCCAACCTGGAGCTCTGAACCAGTCAGGGCTGCCTTTTCTGGGCTTGGCCACTTGTGCAGTCTGTAGTCTTATAAAAGAATCTTTTTTCCATTCAACATAGACATAGAATTTCTGACTTAACTGGAGCTTTGCACCTTCCAATAAAGAAAATATTCCGGAGTATTTTCTAAACATCTCACCTTCCTGTTCCAGTGATCAGTTGGGATTTTTTGTAGTAGCTTTAACAGCTTTTCCAGATCCATGTGGCACAGTTTAAGTGTCCAATGAGATAATACATATTATAAAGGTTAATATGTGGGAGGTTTTGGCCTCTGCCCTTTGGTATGGTATCAGACATATTGAAAATCTTCAGTGATGCACTGCCATTAGAAGAGCCAGGGGGTGTCTTCCTCCTTCTCCCTACCATGTAAAGTTTCTTTAAAGACCTTCTTTTGTGAAGATGACTCATTCTGGTGAGGTTGGAGAAAACAAATGATGTATTTGGGAATCTAGATGTGATATGATTCTCTTTGTCTTTTATTGTAGGGACAAAAAAGAAAAAGAGAGAAAAACACTTCTTTTTTTAGGGAGATGAAAGCCCCTCTGACATTCTGTGCATTATGGTATTGCTTCTATGTATCAAAGCAGAGTTGGATTCTTATATATGCATAGATAAATTAGGAAGGAGAAAAAAATGTAAACAGTAGAAAAGACAAAAGCAAAGAGTTGAAATTCAAGTGGCCAATTTCAGACAAACGGAGATAAGAAAGTGAAAGTACACCCACTCTTTGAAGAAAGATGTATAAATTATGCTAAGTAGGACATCTAGAAGAACTAAGAAGATGCTGTGTACAAAAACTGTATCTGGAAGCCTATATGTAAGAAGCAAGACTTTACAGAGAATCATTGGTTTTGGGTGACCCGAGAGAACGAGATCCATCCAGTATGTTGCAGATATTGTGAAGAGAGTATTTGCTCAGTTTTCACTGTGCTGAATGCTGGGGTCCCAAGTGTCTAAAAAAATGCAGCTTTTTCTAGAAAGTACATTAAAATAAGCTGATATGTTCACAGGCAGTGGTTCACTCAGAGGAGCTGCAGGAATTTAAAAATGAAAGCCGATACTAAGGTTGTTTATTTAAATTTTGAAGTCTTGGACAGGGAAAGATAGCAAGCATTGTCTTCCAAAGTGATGTACTCGGGTCTACTGAGAATAAACGGCATTCATCTTACCCAGGAGTATCTGGTATTACCTACCCAGACAAAGTTATTAAAGTAACTGGATCACTGATCAGTCTGTCAGTTCGTGTATTATGGAAGAAATAAGCCTGAACTATAGGAAGCAGAATGATCTTGTGTTTTGAGTAAGTCTTGTTGAACTGATCTTGTTCTTTAGCGTATGATAGTGGGAACAGTTTATAGGAATATGCTTCTGGAATATTGTTTTTTTGAGTAACTCTAGAAATCAAAACTCTTTTAATACATCCAAAGAGAAAAAACCTGTAGAAAGTGAACTGGGATTGAGTTTTGCTTGCTATAGACTGTTAGTAAGTTCCCAGTGAGCATCATGAGCATCAGTTTTGAAAATCGTGCCTGACCTCCTGTCTTTCTAGAAACAAAATAAAAAGTGGGGGCATTATGTACCGCAAAGAATACTCTCTGTGTAAAATCATTATATAATGGAAAATTACCAGTGACAGATGAAATTTTGTTCAGAAGTAATGAAACTTTAAATTAGAAACATGAGTGAATTTTTCTAAAATATGCTAAGTTTTCCATTCACATTATGTATCTTTTTGAAACATATTGGTGGTATGGCAAGGCACTTTAAGTACACTGTGTTTTTCTGGTGAAACACACTAATCTATGACTTTTACATGGAAAACATGAATTTTTTATCACAGTAATATAACACATTTTAATACTTGATTAAAACTTATGGTTCAGATATATTTTAAGAAAATTAAGAAGTTTTTGGTTTCTTTTAACTCTATAGGCTTGCTGATGCATGGGAAAATGATACAGGAGTTCATCCTTTAAAGTTTCCATCAGAAACATGTTTGGAATTACTGTTGGTACTGGGTTTGAGTACTGCATCTCTGCCACCTTCACTTCGATACATGAACTCTTTTCAGGTAAGGAACAGCTTCTGTTTCAGTATGAAGGTGTTACTTTTGGAAAAAGAGAGATCCCTGGGGGCCTTGCAGAGGATTTTTCTTCTGTAGTTGCATGACTTTCCATTATATTAAAATGTAGACCAAGATGGAAAATGCCACTGGATTTTTAAACAGTTCATTACAGTTTAAAGTGATGAAATTTAAAGAAATATCATCAAACTTAGGCTGTAGTTGCTAGAATCATTATAAAAAATTTTGTGAGCTTAAAAAAAAATTCTTAGCCAAAAATTAAAAGTTTTCAGTGGTGAAAACATTCTTCTGTGTGTTACCTTTGAAGTTTTCAGCAATCACAGAAATTTTCCAAAGGAAACATTGTTGCAGGCATGTTTAATTGTGATTTTTATTTCTTTTGTAATGTGGTTGGAGAGTATGATTTTTACAAATGCAATAGAGACAACTGAATTCATGATGATATGACATAGCAGGTCAGCCTTTTTATGATGCTTCTGTCTTCCCCTGTAGTTACACACTCTGTTGGTTGACTATTGATGCAAATCTAAAGAAACCATCTGTTGAACAGGAAGTGTACTGAGTCTGTTTTTGTTCTGGCAGCTATAAAAGAATTATCGTCTTAGTGGGACTGAGTGTCCTTGACAGCTACTAACATGAAATCAGGTAGCTTGACAGTTACTAACATGAAATCGGGTAGCTTCTATTTGTCCGTATTTCCTGTTTGTACTTACGGCACATCTAATTAGTGCTCCTGAGCTATATTTACTGAAAAATAGTCTTTCTGTAGATTTTGAAGAGAAAAAAAATAGTTGTAAAAAAAAAAATCAAGTAATTGACTTTAATAGAGTTGCTCTGATGTACAGCTGCTGAAAATCCCTGTTTTAGGAAGTGGGTACCTGCATTGTTTCTCGCTTTGCATCTTGTGTGCTTGGAAACAGGGAATCTGTATATGGCGATCATTAGGATACAGCAGCCGCCACTGATCACTTCAATGTTATTTTAATACCCAAGGTCAGAATTATTACTGGGTTGTACATTCAGAGGCCATAAAATTGAAGAATCTCCTGGATGCCAATAGATTGCAATAATTATAAACTTCCAAGGATTGGCCAGCAGTAGTAATCCATGCAGTTGAGTAGTCCGTGATTCCTATTAAGAAGCAAAAATTTTGTTTGTCTAATAGAAGAGGATATATTCTTGTCTCTTACATTACCAGTAATCTGTGGTAAAGTCCTCCCTGCTTTACCCATGACGGGTTAAACAGGAGTCTCTTCTGGGCATACTCAGTCCCACACTGTGTATTCAGGATTCCCTTTGATTTGTGTATGGGGTAGAGGTAGGAAGTGATAGATGTCTGTCAACTGGTGTTTTTACCTCGGAGTACACAAAGCATCAGATTTTCCTTTTTTTCCTTGGCTGACTCTGCACGATTGTGCTCAATTGCTCCTGGGTAATTTCAGCTTTGTGAGGCTGCCTCTGTAAAGAAATCATTGCCCTAGAGGCACATGGTGCAGGTCCTGGAAGCATAGGGTTATCTCAGCCATGGGGTGGGACATCCCCATGCATCCCCTGGAGACCCTCTGACCATGGCCCTTCAACCCCAGATTTCTGTGGAAAAGATGAAAGCAAACAGTACTTTGCTAAGCTCATTTACTGAGCACTGCCTGCACAGATCGTAGTTTTCCTGCCTGTGTGCCAAATTTGGTGATGTGACAATGTCCTGTCTTTCACAGCAACACACTTCGCAGTTTTTGAAAAGCCCAATTTCAGAAACCTGCTCTGCTAAGATAATGTTCTATTTTGCCAAGTGGGAGGAAAGGAAAATGGCTTTTTTGATAAAATTATGTGACTTCAACTGTCACTCTTCTTGGCAAACAGTCAATATCACCAAGTGCTTGTCCTAGAGGACAAACACTGACCAGTGAAGTATTGTTTTACTTATTTCTGTCCTTATAAACATTGTTTGGATCTCAGTGAATCCATGAAGCAGAAACAAAGTTTGCCCAAGCTTTTCCCTGATGCTTTATAATGGTCTGCCTGCCTTATAGTTTGTTTTTTTTTGGTTTTTTTGTTTTTTGCTTCTTCATGTTTAGCAAATAGTAGGATTACAGATCCTAGTTTTTCTGTGTTTTTCTTGGAAAAAGTTGGCAAGATCTGAAGAGAGCTTGAATAGTGATACTAAATTGTGCTATTGCCTGGGCATAAGATTACACTGCATCCAAAATACTGAAGATTGTGAGCCAAAAAGGAAATAGTAAAAAGGCACTAATTGAAAACTGATATTTCATATATCTTAATGGAGTAATGGCAAAATGACAAAACTAGTTATGCTTTATTTTGTGGTAGACCTTAATCTGGCAGTTGTCTAGAAAAATTTAAAACATTTTAATTCTATATTACAATAAAACTTGTATTTGAACGGGAAATAATTGCAGAGTTCCCTGTTATCTACACAGTGGAACAGTGGCAGTCTTGTTCAATAGGGGCCAGGCTCTTGCAATTGAATGCTGGAGGAATTAGAAGGAAAAAACGACCCCAGAAAGTGCCAGAGTTTTCTCCCTTCATATATATATGTGTTTCCACATATGTGGAAATGTGGTTAACTGGACCATTTTTTTCTACTGGTGCTTTCCTTTATATTTTCATACAGTATTTGGAAATGTATCTAACAGGCAGCTCTAATGTAGAGATCTAAAAGTTACAGTGTAACTCCTGATACCCTGTCAGGATGGCCTTCAAAAATCCAATTTTTTAAAATTAGGTAACCAAAAATGAACTCATTGACAGCCATGTTTTTTGAGAATGTATTTACCCTCTCTCACAATTATATTACAGTACTGGCAGTGTTGACAAGCCAAAATTTTAGTTGGTATGCATCTGCATTGGGTGATGCTTAGGCTGTAAAAAGCACACAAAGGAAATCTGCTTAGTTGCTAATAATCTGTAATAAACTCTTTTCTGCCTTGTGCTCTAGAAGTACTCTCTGGGACTACCTTAGCAGACTCTGTATCAGTGCTGAGACATAAATTACAGTTTATTTTCCATTGGTGTGCTACTGCTTAGTAACATAATATTTGAAATCACTTTTCATTCTGTTTTGACCCCGTAAAGATCTTTCAGTGTGATTTATGTTGCTAGAGGAGCCTGGAAGAGAAGAGCAGCAGCAGACTGTGCTACATAGCTCTGCTGAGTTTAAGGTGCTCACTAGAGCCAGCTTAAAAGTTTCCCAGGCTGTTGAGCCTAGATACTAGGTTGTATTTTGCTCATCTCTCATTTCACCTGAACAATTGCAGTGATATATTTTTTTTGGTGGACTATAGAGAATTAAATCTTAGGAAGCTTGAGCCTGTAAACTCTGAAAAACCAAAGTGGATAGATCATTTCTTGCTGGTTGATGGCAGCTCCTGGGTTTACAAGAGAACACGATTTTTCAGCCCTGACTTGTACTTTCCCAGGCTTGTAATCCCTCACCCATACTAAGGATGTCTCAGATCAAGGTAATAGGATTGACTGAGGCACTTGATACTTACCCTGGAGCAATGAGAAAAGCAGTAAGAAGGGACACAGGAGTTTGCTACTAGAAAAGATGAATTTTTTTTGTTTGCTTTTGCTCTGAGCATTGTTTTGCCGCTTTCTCTTCAGCTCCATTACACTGCACGGAAAGCTGTGTTACCTTATTACACACTCCATCTGTATGGCTGTCCACCCACCTGAGCCGTCAGCCCTTTGCTTTAGGAATGTTTGGGCTTTACTTTGTGTATCATTCCTAATACTTGTGAACACTTGTAGCTAGCACCCACTTGAGTTATCATGTACTTTATCACAGAACTGCTCGGCTGCTACTTCTCAGCGCAGTCTCAGAGGCTGTGTTGGTATTTCAGAGCCTACAGCACAAAACAGTTAACACAGGGAGATGCTTTAAAGTGACAAGTAATCTCTGCTGTGTTTTTCTAACCTTATCTCGTCTTTCTCTGAATTCAAGCACAGTGAACAGAAAATGTCCTGGATATTGAATTCTTATGATGATATATGGGGCTGTTGAGCACATTTTCTCTCACTGCTGTTTTTGTGGGAAACCAGGCATTTTACTTCACCTATCAAGACACTATTCATAAGGCCACAGACTGTAAACAACAGTTTTCAGAGTTAAACAGATCATGGTTTTATTTTTACTTTTACAGTTGTGTGAAATTGAGGGAAGATTGTGTTTAAGAACTGCTGAGCTGTTTCAAAACTTTGTTTCAAATAGCTCTTGATAATTTTTGGAGCTGCACCCAGTGCCCCTGGTAGCTTTCAGCACACTGCTTTGGTTAAGAGGAGGCCACTGTTTAAGAAAAAACAAAAAAATGTTCATTCTACTATTGCAGTAAGAATCTCTAGTGGTGTCTCTGAAGGAAAAACTCATTTGCAGTTATTTTGCTTTCAAAAAAAAGAAGGAAAACCAAAGGTTTCTCATAGAACAGCCTGTCAAGTTCTCTGTCATTTAATCTCTTAATACAATGCAGGAAATTTGCTAAAGGCAGCAGGTTTAGAAATACAGAATATGAGTTGCTCAGAAAATATAAGGATGAACACAGTATTCATTATAGTTTAGTAGCTCTAGTATGTAAGTATCAAAAGGGTCATGGAAAACAAAATATGAAATTACTGCTGTCTCTCAGGTCTATGCTTGGTCCAAACTAAAGTGTCCCTAGATGTTTGGTGTTTTTTAATATTGATACTTTTATTTTTTCTGTGTCTCTAAATGAAAAATTTCAAAATAATTTCTTGCAAGAAGTTAGCTGAAGGTAACATGTGCACCTGTGTCTTCTGACAATCCTTTTTGAAGCTAACAGCTGAGTAAAATTTACAAAAATCTGTTCAGCTTTTCCAATTGTTCTGGGCATTTGGAGCTAGAGAAGATGCATGTATTCTTTTAAGCTGGATTCCACTCCTTTGGAGCACTGTCAAACAGCAGCAAAGACAGGACAGACACAAGAAAAGAAAATATAAAGAGTGAAGAAATG